TGACATAGATAAAAAGTAATAAAGATTGTTACAGAATATAATTAATCTTAATCCATGATACTTCCTAAAGTTGCTTGATTAGTTGTAGAGTAAACCACTAGCTTTTTGGAAATGGGCCTCATGCTTTTTGGAGGAATGAATGCTTGTTGCTATGGGCATAAATATTAATTAATGTATACATATAATAACAGCTTAGGAAGTTAATTTAAGAACTGTATCTTTTCTGCTGACTACTGTTTACCCCATTTTTGGGTGGAGACGCTAATCTTCAGAAAGCCCATACAGAAATGCTTTGTGCTTACTGCCTCTCAAGATATCTAGTAAGGCACAGAGATACAAATAATATGAATCCCATCTTCCACTAGGAAAGTTGAAATGGTCTCCACTGAGAAATGTCTTTGAAGAGGAACCATTGTCCTGACTAGAAATGTCTTCCCTGAATGTGCTTCGGAACACATGTTTCCATTGAAGTGATAGCTGACTACAGGTGCTCAGCATGGCAAAGTAAAAGTCTGTCAATCTCATCTCAATATGTTTTTCTCACAGTTAAGGTGCAACAGGAGATTGATGAGGTGGTGGGTACAAATCGCACGCCAAGCATGGAAGACCGGTTGAAGATGCCTTTCACAAATGCCGTCGTTCATGAGGTTCAGCGATATCAGAAAGAGACCCTTGAGACTTTTCCTCGGGCAACAACTTGTGATGTAAAATTCCATGGTTACACCATTCCCAAGGTAAGATGATACAAGTATTTATGAAGGCTCTCTAGGGAACGAAAGAAAGAACGACTTAGATCCTTGATACGTGAGGCAGTTTGAATAAAAGAGCAATTTAGAGAAATATGTATTGAAAGAAATATCTACTCCTTCTCTCCTCGTTCTTCAAGGTTCAGCAGATGACTATTCATTTCCTGTTTAGGCATGTGGGAAGCAAAGGCACTTTCTTCTCCATATGAAATAATATCATCTAATGGCATCTGTTTCTTCCTCTCCCTCTAGTCTATGCCTATTGCACCAGTCTTCGCTTCTGCACATTTTGATCCTCATCATTGGGAGACTCCACAAAAGTTCAATCCCAATCATTTTTTGGATGAACAGGGCCAGTTCAGGAAAAATGATGCTTTCATGCCATTCTCAGCAGGTACAAGCCTCTGGAACAGATTATATTACAAATTCACATGATTACCTGATTCATGTTAT